TCCAAGCTCTGAGCTGTTAGCACAGAACCTTATGAGGGGCTCGAACTCACGAACTGTGAGATCATGACCAGAGCTGAAGTTGGACGCTTAACTGACTGAGCCACCCAGGCGTCCCTGAAGCCCTGACTTTTGCATGAAGCCCCCATCCCTCAGAGCCCCTGTGTGGGGCCATGTATCCCAAAGAACTCCAACTCCCTCCAGATTTCTGGAGGTAGCCCTAGCCCTCAGAGCCCCTATGTATCACCTTGTCCCCTAAAGTGTCCCCTGGGTGCCCCCCACCCCCCGCCTTGGGGGCTCTCCCACTCCTCAGGGCCCTTGTACAGCCATGTCTTCCAGAGGATCCCCATGTCCACCCCCATGGTCCTGAACACCTTTGGTGTGATCACTTCTCCCTAGAGGCCTCCTGTAACCCCCTTTCCTCAGAGCCTCGACATGTGGCCGCATCTGCCAGTGGCCCCCCTGACCTCCACTCCTCCAGACCTTGGACCCCCATGTTTCCCTTTTCTTCCCAGCTTATCCTTTGGTTTCCCTGCAGTATCTCTGGTTGCCTCACCTCTATGACTCTACCACATTCCCCCAGAGCTCCGTAGGCCCCTTTATCTCCTTGTATGCCCACAGTTTCTGTCTCTTCGGGGGCCTCTGTCTTCCTTCTGTCCCTTAGAGACCTGGGAAATTCTCCCCTCCCAGACAGACAGACATAGACAGCATTTCAGAGAAAAGAGGTTTATTGGGCTTCATTGAAGGTGCAGATGTCTCCTCATGGGGTGTCTAGTCAAGCAGTGGCTGGATGTTAAGAGTTTCTTTCTGCCTTCTAGAGCTCCCCGGGGTCTCAGATTCATTTGTTTTCTCTCTCACTGGGTTATCCTTATGCTGATGTTCTCTGGCTCTTCATCTCTTGGGTGTATCTCTCTCTCTCTCTCTTCTGACGGCCCTCTATTATTCCCTTCCCTCCATCCTCCATAAATAAATAATTTAATTTTTTCCCTTTATAAATAATCCCCCCTCCCCTGCCTCCTGTCATCCACTCAAGCTCCTCCATGTGTCTGCTCCCTCCACGTGCAAGGCCAGGCCTTCCTTAGATGGGCAGGACAGATGAAGAGCTCTGGGTGGGAATTTCTAGGCAGACTTGAAATCCTCAGCCTCACACTGGTGTAGTTCAGGCGGGTGTGGTCCCCCGGGCTGCCTAGAATTCCTTCTTTGGAAGCTCCAGGTAACATGAGCAGGGGAGACTTGAGACACGTGGAATGGTCGAAAGAGGTGTGGTGACACCCTTGAAGTGGTCAGCATGGAGGCAAAATGGGAGAAGGTCTTGAAACCAATTAGTTTTCTTTCTGGAGATTTCTACAGAGCAAACGCTCCAAAGAAGACACTACTGGGGCTGAGGAGTAGGTGGGAGATGCCATCTGTGTGAGTGGATAGCTGATCTCCCTGGGTGAGCAGGAACACAGCTCCCTGGTACACAGAGCGCACCCAAGGTCCCTGTGGCCCTGGGCACACGGACTTCTGAGCACTGAGGAGAGGCACGTGGAAGGGGTACTGAGAGGAGAAGAGCTGGACCTCATGGGCCAGGTAGAGAGGGGTCGGGGTGGCCTTGGGGAAGCAGCCTTCCCCAGAGAAGACCACCTGAGAGTAGACAAAGTAGAGGCCACTGGTGGGGACCAGGAGGGAATTGTTGCTCAAGGAGAAGCCATGGCGGAGGAAGGCACGATCTGTGTTTGCTCTCCAGCGCAGTGAGTTCTGGGTGCTGGGGTCTCCTAGGAAGAGCCATAGGGGATGGGAGAGGTCAAGAAGCTGGGGGTCAGCAGTCTTAATCCCTGAGGAAGTAGGTGCTGGACTGGGTTCCTGGGGGGATGGTTGGGAGGACAGATGGGAGAGGGATGCCCCTGTTTTGGGAGGTGGAGAAAGTTGTGGGAGGGGTGCGGTAGATGCTTGGTTCCTTGAGGGGGTGTAGGAGGAGAGCTGGGGACTATGTGTCTGGAGGGCCAGATGGTGTTTACCAATAAGATGAGCAGCAGGTTTGAGGGTGCCTTGTGCGAAGTGCTTCTGAGGGTGCTGATAGGTAGTCCGGGCAGCTGAGGGTGAGATGCCAACACCAGGAAGCCCCTAGGGGAGAAGACGGACGAGGATGGCTCTAGGGCCCAAAGATGGGCTGGGCCACCCCTGCTGCCCCCGTTCTCCTGCTGCCTCACCTGGGCCTCAGGCGGCAGGGCCAGCAGCAGCCCCAGAAGGAGGAGGAGGAGGGGGGCGCTGCACACCCGCAGGAGGTAGAGCCTTCCAGGTGGTGTCATGGGGAGAACCTGCGGGGGGGAGAGAGACAATGAGTGGGGCGGGGCAAGGTGCAGATGACGGCCTCCTGCCTGCCCGCGGAGAGATAGCCATCCGAGAGACAGGGCAAAACGGATAAGAGAAGGGGACAAGATGCAGTCAGGGAAACCCCAAGGTGAGCAGGGGGAGACAGAAAGAGAAACAGAGACACGGGAAGGGAACAGAGAGGACTCGTGGCAGAAACAGAGAAGGTGTGATAGAGACAGGGAGAAAATGACTGATGAAGAGTCGGAGGGAGGAGAAACCAAAACCAAACCCACCAAGGCCCAGCCTCAGGCAGGAGGTACAGGAGGGGGGCCGGGGCGCAGGCGGAGGGGCAGAGTGCCCAGGGGAGTCCACCCCCCGGCAGCCCAAGGAGACGGGGCGGGAGAGTCTCACCTGCTCTGTGGGGCCCCTGGGCCCGGACGCCTGGGTCCCTTTATAGAGGAAGCTGCAGTGGCAGCGTGGCAGGCGGCGGGCGGGTTCTAGGCCCCGGCTGGGCCCGGGGAAGCCCCCAGGGCTTAGAAGATGCTGCTGTTTCAGTCGAAGGCAGGAAAGGCTGAGGCCTAGGAGTGAACCGCAGGCTGGGGGCTCAGACGACTGAGTTCTGGGAAAGGGAGTGGGGTCAGGGGAACCGTGGGCTGGGAGGGGCAGGGAGCAGGGTCAGGCTTAGGAGTTCCAGGGAAGGGACGGACAGTCAATTCGGAGAGGAGGGGGGAGCAGCTGCGGCGTGGGCTGGAGGCCCGGTTCCCTGAAGAGCGATTATATATAACACCTCTGCACCCTTGGTTGATTACAGGCTACTCTCTGTGCCCATTTCCTCCTCTGATGCCCTCATCCTTGTCCCAAACAGCTCAACTCACACTTGTCCCAGTATGTGGACTTTCCTGGTCATCTGGCAGGTTTTATATCAAGAAGTTCCATGATCTACCCCCTTGCCTGGGACATTCTGGTTTATGCCTGCTGTCCTGGTGAAAATGTTCATGGATCTCCCTTTTGCTCTCAGAAGTGTCCTCGTTTGGAAGATAAATGTTATGGTTCCCCTTCTCAGAGATGTCGTCACGTACTCACGATGAGGTCTCCTCTCACTGTGGAGGGATGTCTTCTACCTTATCTCCACCTTAGGCAGCCCCCCCCACAGATCAGATTTGTATAACCCCAAACAAACACACACTCCGGGATCAAGGAATGTAGCAACTTCTGAAGTTCTCTACAGGGAAGACTTTGGAGGGTGGTGAGGGGCTGGAGGGTGGTGAGCTAGGATAAGGTGGGGACAACCACAGGACTTGTCTCGAAGCTGCATTTGCAGAACCAGTATTCTGTTTTAAAATTGTTAAAGATTTCCCCTTTTTAACTTGGGTGCAGTAAGGTGCACACCTCTTAAATTTACAGCCTGTTGAACATTTCCATCTGCTGATAGCCATGTAGCCACCATATTTTTCAGATCCCCAGAAGGCTGTCTCATGCCCCCTCCCAGGTGATACCCTCCAAAGATAACCAACCACTTTCTGGTCACCATTGATTAGTTGTTCCTGCTTTTGTATCGTATAAATGAAGTCACACAGAATGTACTGGTTTGGGTTTAGCTTTTTTCACTCAACATGATGTTTGTGAGATTCATCCATGTGGTTGCATGTATCAGTAGTGGCTGGTTTGTTTCTCATTATGATGTCATGGTCTATTGTGTGAATATGCTCTAATTTATTTACTCATTCTTCTGTGGACGGACATTTGGTTTGTTTCTAGTTGTTGGCTACTATGAAAGATATTGATATGAACATTCTTTTGTTTTTATTATTTTTTTTATTTTTGTGAGAGAGAGAAAGTTCGAGCAGTGGAGGGGCAGAGAGAGAGAGGGGGAGAGAGGGAATCCCAAGCAGGGTCCTCACTGTTAGCGCAGAGCCCGACGCGAGGCTTGAACCCACGAACTGTGAGATCATGACCTGAGCTGAAG